TGAGTGCTGTTTTAGTGGCCCATGGAGGTAACTGAAAGTGTGAATTTTCGATTCTTCCTTCTCAGAAGCCCCAAAAAGACACGTGACCCATCACCCCATCTCTGACCGTGAGGTCACCCTGAGGTGCTGGGCCCTGGGCTTCTACCCTGCGGAGATCGCCCTCACCTGGCAGCGTGACGGGGAGGACCTGACGCAGGACACAGAGCTTGTGGAGACCAGGCCTGCAGGGGACGGGACCTTCCAGAAGTGGGCGGCTGTGGTGGTGCCTTCTGGAGAGGAGCAGAGATACACGTGCCATGTGCAGCACGAGGGGCTGTCTGAGCCCGTCACCCTGAGATGGGGTAAGGAGGGAGATGTGGGCTCAGAGCCTCTTCTCAGGGAAATCAGGAGCCCTTCTGGGGAACTTCAGCAGGGTTCAGGGCTGAGGCCTGAGGTCAGAGCCCTTCACTTTCTCTTGCCTTCCCAGAGCCACCTTCTCAGTCCATCATCCCTATTGTGGGCATCATTGCTGGCCTGGTTGTCTTTGTGGTCACTGTAGCTGTGGTGGCTGGAGCTGTGATGTGGAGGAAGAAGTGCTCAGGTAGGGAAGGGGTAGGGCCTGAGTTTTTTTTGTCCCACTGGGGGGTTTCAAGCCCCGTGTAGAAGTTTGCCCTGCCTTATTAATAGGAAGTACCATTCATACACATGTACCTGCCACTCGGGGTTGATTGCTAACACTCTTTTGTAAAGCACTTGTGAAAACAAAAGACAGATTTTTTCACCATGATACTTCTGGTGCTGGGGACCTGATTCCTGCAACTGGAGATCAGAGGAAGGTCCCTAGTGATGACAGAGCTCCAGGAGGGCAATTAGTCCTGTCCCCACACATGCCCCTTCTTCACGTTTCCTGAGGTGGCCCTGGGTCTTCAGTCGTGGTTTTGGAAACTTCTTTGTGGTTCAGGACTAGGGGGTTCCTCTAGGATCTCATGACGGAGGCTTCTCCCTGTTTTCTTCCCACAGGTGAAAAAAGAGGGGGCTACATTCAGGCTGCAGGTAAGTTTGAGTCTGGTTGATCTCTGAGACCACTGGGATAGTGTAGACGGAGCCCATGGGGGAGCTCACCCACCCCACAGTTTCTCCTTTAGTCCCATCTCCTGTGGACCCTGACCATGTCCTGTTCTGTTCTACCCCAGGAAGTGACAGTGCACAGGGCTCTGATGTGTCTCTCACAGATCCTAAAGCTGAGACCCTGGAGGCCTGAAGTGGGGGAGGAGCTGGGTCAGAGGGCACACAACTAGGTTATGGAAATTCTTTGAGTGGGGACCTGTTGAGCATGTGGTAGGCTGCTGACAATGTCAACACTTATGTGACTGACCTGAATTTGTTTATGATTATTTTCTCTCACAGTGTGAGACAGCTGCCTTGTGGGGAACTGAGTGATGCAAGATTTGTTCACGCTCCCACTTTGTGACTTTGAGATCCCCTGACTTCTCTTTTTACAACTGGCATCTGAATGTGTCTGCGTTCCTATTAGCATAATGTGAGGAGGAGGGGAGATTGGCCCACCGCCTGCCCACCATGACCCCTCTGCACAATGACCTGTGTTCTTCCCCTGATTGACTTTCCTGTTCTAGCAGAGGCCAGGCTGGGCCATCTCCATCCTTGTCTTAACTTCATGTTGCACTGAGTAGTAATGATATGCTTCCTTATTGAAAATAAGAATCTGGATATGAATTTTTTTTTCTAATTCTTGTCGTAAGGCACTGATATGTTAATTAAAGGAGAAATTTCCTGAGGTTTGAGAGAGGAAACAAATGGAAGCACTGAGAACCTTCTAGAATTTGTGTGTTGACTGTGCTGAGTCTGGTGCAGGTGGGGACAGGAGAGACTGAGGAGCTGAGTGTGGACAGGGGTTGTGCCCAGTCACTGCTCCATGCATCATGGGCTTTGACGTGCTCCCTCCTCAGCTGGGTCATCTCTCTGCTCGTTTGTTCCGGTCCCCTCAGTAGAACCTTGTGCCACCAGGATCTGTCATCACAGCAACTCAGATGTCTATCACCTGGGCACTGTCATGTCTTCAGGACCGTGGACAGTGAGGGCTTCCTTTTGCCGGGTCACTCTAGGCTCAGGCCTAGGTCCAGACCTCAGCCCCTACCATTTCTGTGTTTATATTTTGTTCCTTCGGGTTTTTTTTTTTTTTTGATTATTCCTGTTCCTTTTCATGATTAGCATGGTTTCATTCTCCTCTGGGTGTCCCCCGTCTCTGACAGCAGCAGGAGTCGTTTGGCCTGTCATTGTCCCCACAAGGCCCACAGCGGCCCCTGCACACAGGAGACTCTGGTATGCAGAGATGAATTTTTGGACTCATCCAGCTGTTGCCCTCCTTCTAGGGCTGTTTCCTGGATTGTTCTTTCCACCTTTTCTCCCTTCTCAAAGAGCCAGATTCTAGAATTAGCAGAGAGGAGGGATGTGATAGTTTCTAATCTTAGATAAATTCCTATTGGATATCTGTCTTCTCTGCATCCTGCCCCCTCTCTCTGCCCTCAGCTCTAGTCATCCTAGTGCTGGCTCAGATCCAAACCCTTGGATTTACAAAGTTGAGTCACCTTTAGATTCACAATTGGTTGGAAAATAGGACCCATAAGCCTAGGACTGTGCTTTCTGAATACAATTGTGTGTGTAGTGTGCAGGAGGGTGGCTGTGGGAGGGAGGGGAGAGCAGCACTTGTAAGAAAAGTACAGGTGGTATTGATGTCAGTGTGAGTGGACGTTGTGCTGTAGCTGCCACAAAACAGCATGTGACTTGAGGTTACATTAATAAAGATACTGTCTCTAGAATAGGGAGGTGCTCTACACTGATCATTCATTCAACTGATAATTGTTGTTTGCCAGATATATGACAAAATAATTTTGCATCTAGGAAACCTCAGTGAACTAAAAACAGGCAAAAATTGCCAGCCTTGTGGAGCATGTGTTCTAGTGGTGAGGGGCAGACTGTATGCTATAAGCATAGTAAAAAGGGAAATGTTTATGTTAAAAGTTTAAGTGCTTTGAGGAAGGTAACCCGGACTATAAGAGTGTGGGGACAGGGAAGATGGCTGTTTTACTAGGGTGGTCAGTGTGGGCCTCAGTGGGACGGTGACCTTGAGTAAAGACTTGAAGGACATGAAGGAATTATCCAGGAGGATGTCTTGGGGGAAATTTTTCCAGGCAGGGGAACCTCCAGTGCAAATGCACTAGGGCAGGAGTGTCTGTGTGTTCAACGAAGAGTGAGGAGACCTGTGTGGCTGGAGCGGAGAGTAATTGAGATGAGGTCTGAATTACACCCAGGTCGTGTAGGCCTAGAGGATATTGGAAGGTATTGACTTTTCTCTGAGAAAGATGTGAAGTTACAAGATGATTTTGAACAGAAGAGTGACCTAGTGTGACTTCTCTTGAGAAGCATCCATCTGGTGCTGTGCAGAATCAAGAGGTGAAGGCAGCCAACCAGTAGAGAAAACAAGGAAACTAATGCCGTGTTCCAGGCTGGAGATGGTGGTTGCTTTGTCTGGGGTGTGAGCAGGGAAAAGAATATGGAGTGATTGGATTCTGGATACATTCTGAAGATGGGCTTACAGCATTTCCTAATGAATTAAGTCTGGGTTATAAGAAAGGATTGAGGAGGACACTCCAAATTTCAGTCTGTGTAAGTAGAAATATGGAATACTTTCACTGGAAATGGAGAGGACGATAGAAGAAACACATTAGAAAGAAGCAGCACCATAGACATCTAATTAGGAAAGTCGAAAAAGAGACATCTATTAGATGCAAGTGAGGTTAGTTTTAGCAGTTGTATATGGAAGCCTGGAGTTAGAAGACATGTCTGGGGTAGAGAAATAGATTTGTTAGGTGACACCATATAAATGATATTTAAAGCCTTAAGAACTGATGAGGTCACAAAGGGAATGATGGCTATAGAAGACAGGAATAAGGACTGAACCCTGGAACCCCAGTGCTAAGGGATCTGATCAGACCACACACCCAGGGCAGACTGCACATTTCTCACACTGCGTCTGGAAGGCACGGAGACCAGGGAGTAGCAAACTTTCTTGTGCACAGGTTTCTGTTGGATATCTCACTAAGATCTAGACAGTCTGGAGTAGAGGGTGAGATTCTGCATTTATAAGCAGTTTGGTGCTGATGCTGGTGGTCTTCAGAGCACACATTTCGTAGCATGAACATAGACCAGGATTTTCATATGCCTGTGCATGAGCCTCAGAGGTCGGGCTTGTTAAATAAGTGATTCTTGGGCTTGGTGCCCAATATTCTGAGATGGTGGGTCTGGGGAGAGGTTTGTGTATTTTGAAACAAGCCCACAAGCGATCCTCGTGCTCAGCCAGATTGGGAACCATTGATGGCTATCATCAGAGAGCATTCAGGGTAGGGAGGAGTCTTAAATCCACATTTAAATGTTTTCTCCTGGGAAGAAAGAGGCAAATCACATGCTGGGAGATACATGTTGTTTTCTGTACCATGGATGATAGCCAGGTGGAAGATTTTGGAAATGGTTATCAGCTCAGCAAAGGAAAATATCTAAGCTTCTAAGAATTATTATTATTATTATTATTTTTGCTGAGGAAGATCAGCCCTGAGCTAACATCTGTGCCAATCTTCCTCTACTTTTTATATGTGTGTCACTGCCACAGAGTGGCTGACGAGTGGCATAGGTCCATGCCCCAGATGCAAACCCGCAAAACTGAGCCTCCAAAGTGGAACACGTGGAACTTCACCACTGCGCCATGGGGCCAGCACCCTAAGAATTCTTAAATGTTCTCACCACAAAAACAGAAATGGCAATTATATGACGTGATGAAGGTGTTAGCTAACTGTGTGATGTTAATCATTTTGCAATATATAAGCATGTCAAATCAACAGGTTGTACACCTCTGACGTACAAAATATTATATGTCAATTATATCTCAATAAAATTGGAAAAAAATCTCTGCATCCTTGCTCTCTGAAACTATTCCTTACATGGATTTCTCACTCACTTCTTGGTGAGAGCAACAGATTCCAAATTGTTCTATTTCAAACATAAATGAATATTGAAAGATAAAGAGAAAGTATTGGGGCCTTGGGTACCATGTAGGAATCACTGTCACTGCTGCTAGACACAGATGCCATTGCTCATATCACTAACTCTCCTGATACTGGACACTGGACCCTGTGACTGCTATCTGTGCTGCTCCTGGCAACTGGATGACACTACTGCCACACACACCACCTTTGCCAAATGCATTCTGCACAGTCCCCACCATTCTGTCACCACATCTTGAGTCAGAGTCCAGCATGTGGTCACCTGACTGATGGAGCCTCATGCTGTGTCCAACTGCAAGAATCTTTGGGAAAGTGGGTTTCCCTCTTTTAAGGATGGTGCTCTTGGAGCTAGCCCCGTGGCTTAGCAGTTAAGTGTGCGCGCTCCGCTACTGGCAGCCCGGGTTCAGATCCCGGGCATGCACCGACGCACCGCTTCTCTGGCCATGCTGAGGTGGCGTCCCACATACAGCAACTAGAAGGATGTGCAGCTATGACATGCAACTATCTACTGGGGCTATGGGGAGGATTGGCATGGATGTTAGCTCAGGGCTGATCTTCCTCACACACTAACTAACTAACTAACTAACTAACTAACTAACTAAATAAATAAATAAATAAAAAAGGCTGGTGTTCTCTGCCTCCTACCAAGACTCTTCAAGTGTGGAATTCTCCTAACGTGGGAAGAGGGTACAGGTTCTAGGGGTGGAGGTTGGGCATGAGAGATGGAAAAAAGAATGACAAATGTCAATTTTTGGCGCAGTAATCTGAGACCAGAACTTGATCTGGTACATTGCAGGGACTCGGGTTTGGTTGGATGAATGAGTGACTAATAAATGATGTCTTTCAACTTAATCTGTTGATAGCTGCTATGGGGTCCAGCTTTTGTCTACTCTAGGTTATACTCACAAATAACTGGAGTGGCATTGTGGGATGATGAAGTGATTACTCAAAATGTCTTCTCCCTGCCTTTGTCTCTTGCTAGGATTAAAAAACCAAGATCTATAAGATTTCAGAGGATCCAAATATATACACTGACATTTTATACTAACTTTTGTATTTCTTTGTATATGTACATATTTCTTGAGAGAGTATCCGTAACATTTGTCAGTATTTATGTGACCCCAACAAAAGTCTAAAAACCATCCTAGTTTAGACATCATGCTACTCAGTCTGTGGTCCATGAACAGCTAATAATCAAACTGTTTTAGCATATCCAGTGACATGACATAAATGCTCATCTTTTCCTTGACCATTAGTAGTTTGGGACATGATAAGGTAGAGGCTTACTTGCTTATGTTCACTTTCAATTTCTGTCTCTCTCTCTCTCTCTCTTTTTTTTCTTGGTGAGGAAGATTGGCCCTGAGCTAACATCTGTTGCCAATCTTCCTCTTTTTGCTGAGGAAGATTGGCCCTGAGCCAACATCTGTGCCCATCCTTCTCTACTTTGTACATGGGATGCTGCCATAGCATGGTTTGATGAGCGGCACGCCGGTCCATGCCTGGGATCTGACCCTGTGAACCCTGGGCTGCTGAAGCAAATCACGCAAACCCAACCACTACACCACCAGGTCAGCCCGATTTCTGTATATGTCTTATTGTGGGCTCATAACAAACTCCTCACAGGCCAGCGCTGGCTCACAGACCACAATAAGTAGCATGGTTTAGACT